ACGGTCGCCCACTGGAGCAAGTGGTCAACCTCCATAGATTACGCTGATTGGGGCATGTGTTACGCACGTCACCAGATAGGTTGCCACGACAGTTAGCCGTGGAACAAAAGGTTAAGGACGGTCAAAATAAGACGTGGCATGAGGGTATGAAAACTCTTACCAGGATTGTGGGTCACATAGGTCCCGTTAGGCTCCCTGGATGGGGACCTCGGGATGATCGTACCCGATGATTGGAGACACTGAGTGAATATCGTAAACCATAGCGTTCGTGCGTCTTCTCAATTTCTTCGCAGCCATAGTTTACTGGAGTTCTCAATTTTCTCTTCAACTCTATCTTCAACCTTCTTGTCTTTATTCTAATGTTCGTCCAAATGGGCAGTCAAAAGACAGTAACCGAGACCAGCGCACGGATATGCATGGTTAATGGTTATACAAACTGAAAGTATCCGACATAAATTCTATCAAATTCTACTGGAGTCAATCGACTGTGTCCCGACTTGTTTTCCCTCGCACGAGACCGGAGCGCTCGCACCGACACATCGGATTAAGTTACTCAACACAATTGATCAGGATTTGGAGTCGCCTTGCCAGTGTTGTTAACGTCAACAGAATGGTTGTTTGCAGCACGCGTTTTCAACACCTTACAATGTACCCGGTACTCCAATAACGGTAGCACAGCGTGAATCAAATCAGTCACATCTTAGGGTGATCAAGTTGGGCTTCTATTGTGGGTACTGTCGAGGGCAGCGCAGAGCAATGGTGTGAAATATGAACGGTACGTCCCCGTGCGTGAACTTTTCAAACTAGATCTGAATCTCTACAACCAGAACTATACACATCGTAGTCCTGGGCAATAGAGAAACGTCAGACATTATTGTAAGCAATATTCATCTGGGACCAGTGCAAAAAGCACTCTGACAGATGGAACTTATACTGAAGAGTAGACACATAAAGTCAACGACCAAAGTTGTTCGGAACGAACCAAGGGAGAACAGAAAGATCTCCAACAAATTATCTCCGAAGACACACTGAATCTATCTGACAAAGTTTACGAAACGTCACCACGAGATAACAGTGAATATCGCAGATCGAAACTTTGGATGACCTCGCGGGTATTCGCAACCTCGCCCCCTTGAACCGAAGCTGAGGACAAGAGTTGGTTCAATTTGATGCAACTGGTCATCCATCGAATTTCAGATCAAAACCAAGGAAACGGAACTACGGGGGAGAGCTTTTAGACGGACCGCTCAATAAACCTTCAGACCACATCAACGGAATTACCGACTTTAGCCTCTTAATAACTGATCGAAATCAAATACCATCTCACGTGTTGGTGAAATTGTTAGTTGTCAACCAATCAGCCGGGGGAGAAAATATTCCTGCCATTTATGTTCACAAATTGACGCATCCTGTTTGGCTTCACATGGTGAATGGGATAAAAAATTCCGGTTTGACTGAAACACATTTATTCGACTACCCAGTCCCAAAAAAGATGATAAATCGATGTGTAAGAACTACCGACGGATCAGCCGAATCGATGCTACTGCATATATCCTTTGTGTACTGATACCCAACCGTTTCTGTGCTGTGGGACAGCGACGCACGCGCTCGTTGTGATAGCAGCCGTGTGGACCAGATATGTACTATGAGTCGAATAGCAGACTACCGCTATAAGCTCCAATAATCAAATATGATCCACTTCATCGACTAGGACTCAGTCAATCGTGGGTCTCTTTGGGTCATAATAAAGACTAATACGATGCCTAGTAAAAGCTTGACTCCTGAGATAATCATAATCGACTAGCAGCACGGGAGTCCGCATTTAAGGTGAAGCATCTGCTGGCTTTGCTTAACTCAATAGCGAAGTCAGACAAGGATTTCATCGATTGCCGGTGCGGTTCAGCCAAGTTGTCAACTGAAAAATACGACGGACATTGACCGGATAATCTGATCTCCAACTAGGCCAGGAAAATTGCATATTAAGCATGGAGTTCGCGGACAATATCTTTATCCATGGAGATTCATCTACTGCAGTCCAGTCAGTCTTCGACCGACATTCTTGAGGTTGGATGAATGAAAGGAAAACAAGAATACCACAGGAGTTGTCCCGGTTAATACCAAGCCTGAACAAGCGAGTTTTTATATGGTTCGCCACCCCAAATCCCGGGACTTAGATCACCGATTTGCATCACACTGAACAGTAGGTCCTTGTGACCACGGGATCCATCCCATATGTTGTTCGCCACACAACTGTGTGTAATAGAAAACTAGTCAACCCATCGAGTGGATAGCATCATTCAAAGACATAGGCTCCAGGTGAAGAAGAAAGCAGTGGTACGGAACTCCTGGAGAGCTCTTTGTGTGACTACAGCGGACACTGTGAACCCGCAGTGAAATTATCATCCGCATGAAAGCTCGTACTCACTGTGCTGCTATCCACCCCGTACTCATCTGTTGGTGTGAAAATTGGCCTCAGTGAACTGAGGACAGGAGCGGATTGAAAGTATTCAATCATTAGTGCATAAGTCGACTAATAAAAGTGCGGTAGTGTCTACTGAAGAAGTAAGGAGATGATGTTACGATATGAACAAACTGCCAGTTCGGCCATATCTCGCCGGGGCCCAAGACGAAGCTAATCAAACACTCAATCTTAATTCATGTCCTGCTTGGCACTGCCATCTTGATCGATAGCTCAAAACGTGCGTTAACCCCATGGAGAAGGACGTGGAGTTCCTTGCGCTTTAGTCGGTTTACGGGGTCAGGCAATGGAAGATGAACTAGGCTACGATCTGCGCTCGGTTGGCCACAAGCAGCGATGATCCACGGTATTCATGGAGCCGACCTGTTAGCTCACCGATATTCGCATTCAAGTAACAAATTGCAGCCCAGGTCTTCCGGGGAGTGGCGAATCACATATGGTGTGGTGGTGAGTCGTATTAGGACGGAGCTTACAGAACCCGTCCGGCCGCGCACGGATCCGAGTCACACTACAAACAAGCTCGAAATGTCCAAGGCGAGGCGAGTCCAAAGTGGATGACTGCGGAACGAATCAGACAGCTGTCATCCGATCGATCAATCGGATTGTCAAGGACGCAATCTGATTGGTGCGTCATAGCAACAACAACAACAACGATCCGGAGAGAGAGATCCCCGTTCCATTATCGAAATCACCTACCTGCAGGTCGTCCACGGTAAGCATGACAGAGTTCATCAATTTGGCTATGTAAGCGGTCAGTTGGACTCGGTTCAGAGACTGTTCTTTGGGCAACACAATATAGATCACATTTCGATTGGTTTGGTCACGCACAATGGACACGGGGATTGCAGACTCGAGAGGGCTATTGGATACTGACACCACGCCTTTGAGTAGTGCGTGCACACCAGGTGGCAAAATGGAGATAGTGTACACGGACGAGGCGATTTCGGAAGGATCACAGCCTGATTGGTTGCTAAGATTCGATCAGGAGAAAAACAGGAGATAAATAAATAAATAAAACCGTTTGAGACACGTGTGAAAGGTAGAATTTCGAGACTATGAAAATGAAATCAACGTAAGCATGAACCCAATTGAGTCGTACAAACCAAATGGTATCTTTGCTGCAGGAGGGAAGAACAGCAGTAGTGCCAGATGACAAGCCATCGATTTTGCACAATC